GGATGATTTGGTTGTGAAAAGTCGTGATAAGAAGGATCACATTAAAGACTTGAAGACCATGTTTGACTTGATGCGAGCCCATCAATTGAAGATGAATCCTACCAAGTCTTTCCTCAGAATGTCCAGTGGTAAATTCCTGGGATTTGTCGTCACCACCAAAGGTATTCACATCGACCCTGATAAGGTAAAAGCAATTAATGAGTTGCAACCTCTGAGAAACCTCAAGGAGCTCAGAGGATTGCAAGGATGGTTGGCTTATATCCGTCGGTTCATCTCGAACCTCTCAGGAAAATGTCAACCATTCTCCAAGCTCACAAATCAACCATTCTCCAAGCTCACAAAGAAGGGCGTGTCATTTGTATGGGATGACGCTTGTCAGAAGGCATTCGAGAGTATTAAAGAATATCTCTCAAAACGACGCTTGTCAGAAGGCATTCGAGAGTATTAAAGAATATCTCTCAAAACCTCCTGTACTCGTCGCGCCGAAATCAGGCAAACCGTTCTTGATTTATGTCAAGGCGACGAGACACTCATTAAGTGCATTACTTGCACAAGATGATGATAACGGTCATGAGCAGGTGGTATATTATTTAAGCCGAACCATGGTAGGTGCTGAATCTCGATATCCTTTGATTGAGAGAGAATGCCTCGCCTTAGTGTTTGCTATTCAGAAGATGCGGCATTATTTGGTTGGACAGACCATTTATGTTATCTCTAAGGTTAACCCAGTCCGAATATTCATGACTCAACCAGCTTTCATGAATTGGCGGTTAGTGAAATGGGCTTTACTCTTGTCCAATACGACTTACATTTTAAACAACAGAAGTCGGTAAAAGGACAAGCCATCTGTGATCTCCTGGCAGCTAATCCAACTACGGATACCGCCGAGATATATGACGATCTACCCGACGAAGCCCACGAAGTCAACGCAACTTCACACCAGCAAGTATGGCGTTTGTATTTCGACGGCGCTTCACGAGCAACTAATGTAGCAAGTGCTCCTGGAAGTTCTAAGATTTCTTCCAGAGTTGGAGTTGTCTTAGTTTCCCCAGGAAAGCACGTGATGCCTCGAGCTTACTCGTTGACGGAACCGTGCTCAAATAACGTAGCCGAATATAATGCATTACTCATAGGACTCAAATTCGCCAAAGAACTGGGGGTTGAGTATCTCGAAGCCTTCGGTGATTCTCAACTGATAGTTAAACAAGTTCAGGGAGAGTACGAGGTCCGAAGCCAGGATTTAATACCATACCATAAGATGGCAGTGGAGATGGCAGAATCATTCGAAGGATTCTTTATCGAACATATTCCAAGGTTGCAGAATACCTATGCAGACGCGTTAGCGGCATTAGCCGTATCCCTGGCGCAGCCCCCTGAAACAGAACAATTTGTTACAGTAAGGACTCACCAACTCTTAGTGACGATCTATGATGAAGATGGCGAAGAAGAAGAGGTTAAAGAAACACACTCAACTCAAGTTGAGTTTGAACCCCGAGATTGGCGTTTCCCCATCATCGATTATGTCCTGCACGGAATACTACCAGAAGACGTAAAGGAAAGAGACTCAATCCGACGAAGAGCACCAAGATTCTACTATAACACGGAGAATCGAACGCTATACCGCAGGGGGTACGATGGCTTGCTAGCACGGTGCTTATCAACTAAAGAAGCTGAAGAAGTCCTTAAAGAGGCACACGAAGGAGAGTGTGGCGCGCACCAACCCGGCCCCAAGCTTTATGACCGCATCGGAAGAATGGGATATTTTTGGCCTTCCATGATGAGTGATGCAATCGCGTATGCCCGAAAGTGTGATGCATGTCAAATACATGCGAATTATATGCACCAACCTCCGGAGCATCTGCATCCTTCGGTTACGTCGTGGCCATTTGAAACCTGGGGAATGGATATCGTCGGTCCTATAAATCCCCCGTCAGTCAAAGGTGATCGGTTCATCTTGGCAATTACCGATTATTTCTCTAAATGGTCTGAAGCGGTTCCGCTCAGAGAAGTTAAAACGAGCAACGTCATTGCATTCATCAAGCACCATATCATCTACCGACACGGTGTCCCAAGACGAATCATACATGACAATGGTCCTCAATTCGTTAGCAATGCATTCATCAGGTTTTGTGAAAAGTTCAAAATTCAAGACATCTCGTCGACAGCTTACAATCCCACAGCGAATGGATTGGCCGAAGCCTTCAACAAGACTATCATAAAGCTGTTATCAAAACTTATGAAAACTAATAAACAAGACTGGGATGACAAGCTTGGCGCGGCTCTATGGGCCTATCGGAGCACGGTGCGCACACCGACGGGAACAACCTCGTATTCACTGGTATACGGATGTGAAGTCGTTCTTCCATTGGAGATTCAAATCCCGTCACTTCGAATTGCCCTCGCGACTCAAATGATGACTGAAGAGCAACATCAGAAGCGCCTTGAAGAACTGGAAAGGCTAGATGAGAAGCGTTTAGAAGCTCAACAACATATCGAATTCTACCAAGCCAGAATCTCTCGAGCTTTCGACAAAAAGGTTCGACAACGAAGCTTCAAAGGAGGGGATTTGGTTCTAGCTGAAAGGCGGCCTATGATCCTTAACCCCAAGAAGAAGGGCAAATTTGAACCCAAATGGGAGGGACCATTCGTAGTAGAGACAGTCTATTCAAGTGGCGCATATCGCTTAGTCACCAAGGACGGCGATCGGCTTATGATGCCGATAAATGGCAAGTTCCTAAAAAAATATCATCCTTAGTATCTTCAGGATAACCAATGTATCGGGAAGTTCCCAGAAGAACATCATATTTGGTATTCTTAGGGATAACCCAATCATTGTAGAAGTGATGAATAAGAAATTCTCGTTCGAATTCAGAATGTTGGAACGTTCCTTCTTATTATCAAAATTCTGTAACTCATATGAGTTATTTTTGTGAGATGAGATCCAATCCTCTGATAGGTTAATCACTCCTCACCAAACCACCCGCTGATCAAATTAATCGATGGTGGATTCACCAAAATTTCTGTCCGCCAGTCGTTGGCAATTCTCAGACTTAACGTGTTAGGTCCTAATCACTTAGCATTGTAGTCCTCCTTTGAGTGATAGTACGGGTTGGCATTTTCATTGCTACCCGTATTCTACTCTCTTTGCTTTCAGGTCAAACCTATAAAAGTTAGAGCCAAAGCCAAATTCCTCTCTCGATTCTTTCCATGAACGAGAGGTCCACTTTCAATTCGAACAGTCAAACCTATAAAAGTTAGGATTGTTCCTGATCTCACTTAGTCAAACCTACAAATAGTTAAGACTAAGACCGAGTCGTTCCTTTTCGATAAACGAAAGCCTGCCTTTGTTCCTTTTTCTCCAAACCTATAAAAGTTAGGGTCAAAATTGGGCTTTCTCCTCAGTGAATGAGAGATTCTTCTGATTCAAATGACCAATCCTATAAAAGTTAGGGTCGTTTGAACCTTTCCGATTCTCGGAGTGGAGATCCCACTCTTAGTTTCATCCTTTCGGATTCTGGGGGTGGAAATGGAGATCCCACTCTTAGTTTCATCCTTTCGGATTCTGGGGGTGGAAATCCCACCTTGAGTTTCCCTTCCTACTGTAGATAGAATATAAAATTCTTCCTCTTCAGTACTGGGAGATAGAATATAAAATTTTTCTCTCCTATTTTCCAGTCTGTCTTTGTTCCTAGAAAAGACACAATTTTCAATTTCCAATCCGGGCACTTTGTGCACGGGGAATTTTATCTCAACTCCTAAATGGAGATAAGTCTACGCCTAACACGCGTCGCCGGTTTAGTCTTTCACCGATTGAAAAAGACACCAAGGTCTAAACTTAGGGAATTTTATCCCGAAGCCTAAGTAGGGATGAGTCAACACCTAACACGTGTTGCTGGGTAGCCTGTTCCCGTAACAAAGGCGAAGCCTATGTATTCGGCATCATAGCACAAAGTCTCAGAGAATTTACTCTCTTAGCACAACGATACATGCGGAACGGATTTAGACAATCCGCATGCTAGCCCGATTCAAACGGTAATCGGTAAAGGCACATCAAACCCGTTGAAGGCTGGGGGTTTGCCAAAAATCCCAAAGTCTATGTCTAACACGCATTGCCGGTTTAGTCTTTCGCCGATTGAAAAAGACACCAGGGTCTAAACCTGGGGAATTTTATCCCGAAACCTAAGAAGGGATGAGTCATCGCCTAATACGCGGTGCAGGGTACCTTTTCCCTATAAGAAATGGCTAAGTCTAAGAAAAGCGACTTTCTTAGCACAACGTTACATGTGAGACGGGTTTTAATAATTCACATGCTAGCCCGATTCAAACGGTGATCGGTAAAGGCACATCAAACCCGTTGATGGCTGGGGGTTTGCCAAAAAATCCTGTAGAACTTTTCATCGCTGGGTTCAAAGTAAATAAAGAAATATCATAAAGGAAGCAAATACGGAGTCTCTATTAATAGATAAAGTTAAAGCATACAATAAAAATCTCATTAGCCCGAATACAGCTGTCGGCTAAGAACATGAGACTCTAAACTAGAAAGCCTATCTATATAACTCTGCTCAAGTTCTGCCTGCAGACCAGCTCGGACGGATTCTTCAGAACTGCTCAAGATCTTCACGGCTTCTTTCTTCAGCTTCATCAATCTCTCCTGTATAGATCCTAGCTTCTCGAGGGCCTGTCCACGAGAATGCTCTACTCCATCCAGGTCTTCTGCAATAATAGTAAAGGACTCCTCGGCGTGCCTCAAGGCCTCCTTCAACCTAGCCACTTCCTCGCGGCCGGAATCCAAAGAGCGGAGTAACTCAGCTCTATCTGTATCCTTCCTCGCCACGGTAGCCATCAGCTGCACAACTGAATGCTCATGTGACTGAAGCTCACTGCCGACGGAAGATCTCAGGTCGCGCCACTGTGCCAACCTATGCTCCATCTGAGAGGACACGAAGGAAGAAGCTCCATTAGCCTTCAATTCCTTCAACTGTCGGATCTCCGACTCCAGAGCAGTAAAATCGGCAATGAAGGAATCAGCCAACTCCGGATATCCTTCTTCTCTAAACATCATCATGTGACGAGAAAAGGAACGCCTGAACTGATCAAAACAATATCCTCGATGAAGCAGTTTCTCGATCATGCCGTTAAAAAGGCGGTAAAAAAGCCGAGGTCTGTACGGAAAATGTCTCTGTCTGGATCAGTATCGGCCAAGAGGGCGCGAACATGCTCATATAGAGATGATCGAGATCCTGCAAATAACAGTGTGGAAGGCTAAGAGATTATCAAATATGATAAGAAAACTTAAGAGCAGATTCCGAGCATACCAACGCCAGCGGAGGCCCCCTCGGATTGAGGTCTGATAGACTCTGAGATAACGGCAGGAGTAGTCATGGAGGGTATATCAACACCTGTAGGCAAATCAGTCTCAAAAACTGTAGTGGCATCAGGCACAACGGCTGGTCCTATAGTTACACTTCCTTATTAGTCAAAATGGAAATTTAGACAAAATAAGGAGGATCAAGATGATAAGATCATCTACATACCTGCAAATCCATCATCCTCAGGTACACGGGGAATGTCAGGAGTCATAAGGGTATCAGTCCCAGTGGTTGGTCCTATGATTACACCCATCTATTAGTCAAAATCAGACAAATGAAAAGGAGCACGATGTCTCTAGATCGTATGTATACCTGCAAGTTCGTCACTCCGAGGTAAACTAGATAGGCCGGGGATCATTACTAAATCGGTCTCAATGACTGGTACTGTAATATTAATCCTTCGTTAGTTAGACAAAAGATCAGGTAAAAGGAAGGGAATCAGATATATACCTGTGGATGAATCACTCTCAAAGGGTGGTCCTACGGTTTCTCTAGTGGCTTGTTCAGCCAGCATGTCAACTAATAATCCAATGTCAGGTCCCGAGAAACTTGGTGCAGAGACACGCCCTTGTTCTTCGAAACTTACATCATGAAAGGCCCCGTCCTCAACTGGCTTCTCTATTACAACATCTGCAGGATAATTTAAGTGTTGGATATATGTATAAGAAAATAGAGAAAGAAAGAAAAACTCAGAGATACCTGCAGAAGGAACAGAATATTCTTTCTCCCCAATATCCATGCTTGGGTTCTTTAAGTTACCTGAAAGAGAGCGAAGCACAAAAAAAATAATGAATCTTGGATTCCCTAACTCTTCTAAATGCTACTCGAGGAAGGTATCACCGGAATTAGATATACCTGAACGTAGCTCAGTATCAAGGTTCATATCGACATCCATGGAATCGTTACGAATGGCGTCACACATCTGCTGCATGAAGCTATCCATATTATCAGAACCAGGGAATACAGGGTCCGGTGGAAGTTCGCCGTCTTCATAGTATCCCGGAACATAAAACCTGGTTACAAATCCCAGAAGGTAAATCATCTTAAAGCAATAAGGACAACAAAGTACTACCTTCCTCTCCGTCGGCGATGTCTCCTAAATCCACTCCGTAGGGGTACCGACCAACGTGTGGTTTATGAGCGGTGTTCTTCTTTTTCGGAGTACCAGCCCTCATAGAACCAACGGGTCATTCGTGCATAGACTTGCCACGCGTCTCAACATGTGTAGGAGCCTCGCTGCTATGCCGGGATCTCGCATAATGAGAAGCGAGCGACTCCTGCTCATCGACTGTCCTACCTGGGGGATAAGAGTCATTTCGTTAGGATAAGTGAACAAGACCTTTCGTTGATATCAATTGAAATTGAGGAAGAAGGCAAAAGAGCATGACAAACCTGCATTAAGTTCTTCTTCGTCAGTATCTATATCCACATATCCCTCCTCAGAAGTCTCGTCCTCATCATCAATAGGAAGGAGCTCTTCATCATCCTCCATCCTGTCTCTGCTCGAGAGGGAAGGTTTGGCAGGCTTCTTAGGTTTGGCAGGCTTCTTCCCCTGTTTCTTAGTAAGCTCAGCCTTACGAGCAGCCATCATAGTGACTTGAACCAAGTGCTCAGACTGCAACTCTGAAAGACTCCTCACGCCTATAGATTCGTTGGCAGAAAGAAACCACTTGCAGCTGAGGAAAGTGATCAACGGCTTGCGTCTGGATGAAGGAAGAGCAAACTGAGCCCCAGTACAGCCCACCATGGTCCATAGCCATGCCCGAACGCCGTCAATAAGCCCTCCTTCAATCTTCAAACCACGGCTCGGGTTCCCAACATATAGTTGGTCGTAACCAAACTGACGAGCAAAACGGCTGGGGAGGTAAGGCTCTATATGGCAGCGGTTCTTCACCCGAAAAACGAGATACCCGACGCGGATGTTCACCAACCAGCGGAAATAACCAACGTCGAGAGCAGTCCGATTAGTTCTGGGCTTCTCCTCATCAATCAGCACATCACCATAGCGACCCGAAAAGCGAGGAAAACACTTGAAGAACTCCCAGCTCTTACGAACTCGAAGCTCTCGTTGTACATCACTGGATGTTTTTCCGAGCCATCTGCTCCTCTCCAACAGCTGTATGAAAGGAACAGGGACATCAACAATGCTGGGCGCGGACATCAAGTCAGGACGGTGAAAAACGAGCCACGCCATCAGATACGCATAAGGAAGCTCGACCTTCACACAAGTAAGCTCGGTCGACGGTTCAGAACCCACCTGCTCAAAACCGTTGACCAGATACCTAAGACCACAATAAATGTCAGCAACCATTGCTGGGAGCAGGGAAAGCTCCCTCCCATAAGCTAGCTGGACTGCAGGGAAGAGCACCTCGAGAGGTAAGGCGTCTGACTGCTGATACGGAATGACGCATTTCTTCAACCAGAGGGCGAGATAGCCTGCTAGCAGAGTCCGGGGCTCAATGGACTTCTGTGCACGGCGAAGGAACGAACGAAACTTGGTTCCTGCAGGAAAAGCTCCCTCAGCACTAGCGATGGTGTAAGAACGAGCCTCAGCCTTCTCCATCAACTCATTAACGGCGGTAGGTGTCAGAACATCTAACTCACGAATGAGCTCGCTGGAATCACCCTCCAAGTTCTGGAACAAGTAGACAGCAAACTGCTTCAGGCTGATCTGCCTTTTCCTCTTTGCCTGAGAAGAAACCTTGATCAGAGAAGTATGATAATGGCAGGTGAGGTCCCAAAGAGTATCGTACATATCGGGAGTATCCTTCTTCAACCACTCCAATTGCTGATTCGAGGGAAAGTACTCCTGGTATGGACAGTCCCCCATCGGAAGGCCAGAAACCTGATACATCTCATGCAAGGCCAACCCTAACTCTCCGCCGCTGGTCAGGAATGTGTTACTGTCGGGCATGTATGTCTCCAACAATGCCAAGAAATGGCGACAGCTGACTGGGAGCCCATACATGGTGGCTCGTATAGGTGAGTACAATCCACTTCTCTTGTCAAATTCCTTCTCGATCGCGCCCAAGACGTAACTGGTCTTGCGTGTCCCATGCTTGGGTTGTGAGAAGCCAACCCATTAGCATCTAAGTTGGTGGAGGTATCCTGCCTTCTCTCCAAGATGAGGCCAGACGGTTTCTTCAACGGTAGACTGGCTGGCTGATACCTCGCCTCGGAGTGCGTGTATTAAGCACCTCATAATCTCCTGGTTCAAGGACCGGGATTATGATACCCAATAGAACCAGAGTCTTATGTTGATGTGTATCCACAATGACCTCGATCAGCATCATCGCGTGAAGCGCCAGGGCATCTGTTTGCTAACGGCACTGTTCCCTCTAATGAGTGAAAGAACACTGACGAGGAATGGAGGGAATATACAGGAGAGCTCCTTCATCAAGATTCAGCCAATGCTCCTCGGTAAGAATCAACTTAGCAGGATCCTCAATATGATCTCCAAACAGAAAACTGGGCTTCTTTAAAGCCTGAGTAGAAACGGAATCCGCAGTAAAAGAAGCATCCGTAATCAGCTGGCGTAAGCAATGACGCCCTCCATCCCGTATCAAACGACAGGATTCATCGGAGTGATCTCTGTCAAACTGAGGGAGTGGACCAATAGCCTGCCTAATGGAAGCCGAAGAGAAGACTTCCCCGCTACAACCAGTAGTGGCATGAGGAGGGAGACTGCCCGTGGGGAACTCGACTGCAACAAAACAAGGATAGAGTCAGAAAATCATCCATGAATTAAATCCATCTCATAAAGAGCGAGATAAAATCATTCACGGGGTAATTGGAGAGACGATTTTGAGTGTCCTACACTGGAAGAACGGTATGCATCATCACGTAGATGACGTGGTAACATACACCGACCTACAAGGTGTAAGACGACGCAAGATCGCCCCAATATACCAGAAGACTTGAATTGGTTAAGCAAAACAAGTCTGAAACCTCAACCCCCACGAAGGAGGGTGTCGGCCCTTCCCGAATGACCCGTGAAGGGGCCAAACGAGGGTGTAACAGAACCACCAATATCCTGAAACCTCAATCCCCACGAAGGAAGATGTCGGTCCTTCCTTAATGACCCGCGAAGGGATCAATCAGGGATACAGAAATAAAGATTCTCACCCCCGAAAAAGGATGTCGCTGGAGGGGAGGATGCTGTGGGAACTTCTTCCTCGCTAGGCTGTGAACGGGAGCGACTCCTAGGAGGTCGAGGTCGACGTGGAGACATCGAAAACTTATAATGAAAAGCAGCAAGTCAGGTACAATCTAAAATATGAATACACGAAATTTAAAAGGGAAATTAAGAACTTGAACTAAAGTCCTATGAATAAATAGGATTTTATAGTTGAAGTCTAATTAAACCTACAAATTTCGTGCATACAAAACAATGTTTGTCATTTTTGCGGTAAATTTTGGTGAAATACCCAAAATGCCCCTCGTGTTCAAGGCTAAATTCGGGTTAAGGACACGCTCTAATTGGCTCATGGTCATCATATTTGATCATCTAGCACCCCCAATTTTGGTTAATTTTACAAATAAACCTTTTTTTGTAAAATTTAGCCGATTTTGTAAATAAACCCCTCAACAACTTTTGGTCCTCTTGCATAAAGCACCCCTCAAATTTTCGACCAAATGGACATGTAATCCAAATCCTAATTTCAGTCCTTTATTACATGAACACCACCTCAATTCTCCGACCAATTTTGCAAATAAGCCCCCAAAAAGATTTCGGCCCATATTTGCACATAAAACCCTCAATAATTTGTGGTCTTTTTGCATGAAGCACCCCCTCAAAGTTGTGGCCAAGTGGGTCTAAAGCCCTCAATAATTTGTGGTCTTTTTGCATGAAGCACCCCCTCAAAGTTGTGGCCAAGTGGGTCTAAAGTCCGAGCCCCAAAATTTCAGTCTCATTTTGCGTAAAGGCCCCTACAAATTTTAGCCCTCTTTTGCACAAAAGCCCCCCAATTTCGGCCCTATTGCAATTTTTGCATAAAATTCCCAAATACTTGTGCATACACAACCCATCATCATGAGAGTAAAAAGTTATGATCTTGGTATGTAAATTCATGTTATTCCCCCATTACAAGCATAAAATGGCAACCTTTTCAAAGAAAAAAGAGAGAGAGCTTGTGAGAGGAAGCTTACCCAAAACTAAAATGGCAACCTTTTCAAAGAAAAAAGAGAGAGAGCTTGTGAGAGGAAGCTTACCCAAAACCAAGAAACTTTCTTTGAACTTGAGAGTGAAGGAGGAACCCTAGTTGAGAGGGAACAAATTTCGGCCAAGGAGGGGATGCAAAAATCCGATTTTTTTTGTTTTTTTAAAGGGGAAGAGTTTCAATGGGTTTAGAGTTCTTCTTGAAAAAAAAATGGTGGAGGGATAGAAGGAGGAAGAAAGAGTTTGAGAGGGAAAAGGGAATCTCTTTTGAAAATATGGAAAGAAGGGGGAAAACAAAAAGGGAAACAAAATTAAAACAAGAAGGAAAGCTAAAGAAGGAAATAACCAAAGAAGGGAAATAACCTTAGGTCAACGCCAGTCAACGCATTCCGATAAAAAGTCAACATTCGACGTTCGAAACCCTAGGTCAATACCGGTCAACGCGTTCAGACAAAAAGATAACATCCGACATTCGAAACCCTAGGGTCAACGCCGGTCAACGCGTAACCCTAGGTCAACGCCGATCAACGCGTTGCAACAAAAAGTCAACATTCGACGTTCGAAACCCTAAGGTCAACGCCGGTCAACGCATAACCCTAGATCAACGCCAGTCAACGCGTTGCGACAAAAAGTCAAAGTTTGACGTTCAAAACCCTAGAGTCAACGCTGGTCAACGCGTAACCCTAGGTCAACGTCACTCAACGCGTTGCGACAAAAAGTCAACATACGGTGATCTGAAATCCTAAGTCAGCGCAATGTGACAAAGATAGTCAGTTCAAAGTCAATGACACGAGCCAAACTCAACTCACTGGTGGTAGACTCGAGACCCCGACGACGGCCAAGCGATAAACGCAGCGTCGGAAGAACTTCGGCTATTCATCAAAGTATTGAATAGACCAAAAATCGAAGGAGTCAAGGGTTGAAGCTAACTACAGGTCCTTTACGCTAACAGAAGGATGGACCAATCACGTCCAAAGTATTCCAGCCTCTTCTATAAAAGAAACGAGTCTGGAACGCTTTGGAGGGGGTATCTGTAGGCATCAAAAATTGCCTATAGGTCTCCACGAACAACTCAGTGTTAAGGAACGATGATGAACGTCACTATCCGGTTCACAGGAGTTCGATTGATGTCGATGAACGCTTGAAGTAAATCAACGAACTACGTGAACTAACGAAGGTACGGGCTAATCGAGAGTCCCACGATGTTTACAAAAGGAACAACGCCCTTCGTGTCTCATTCATTCAACAGATGATCCAACCATCGGAGCTGATAGAACTCCTTGTCGGCTTTCTAACATACTTCGAATCACTCAAATCCGAGTCCGGACAAAGGAATTACAGCAGAAACAGATGAAAACACCAAAAGGAGTGTCTCGGACCAACGAGACACCCTAGGGTGTCTCGGCCCAAACCAAGAAACACCAAAGGCAACGAGACACCCTTGGGTGTCTCGGCCAAGGCCGAGACACCCTAGGGTGTCTCGGCCCAAGCCGAGACACCCTAGGGTGTCTCGGATCAATGGGAGACACCCTACGGTGTCTCCAATCAAGTAGAGACACCCTGGGGTGTCTCCAAGGAAGATTTGGGCTTTTAAGTATTTTTAACCGCTCCGTTATCCTCTCAAGCCTATAAATACAAGCCTTAGGCCTCATTTTTTCAGATTTGGAATTTTGGAGAATTGGCGAAGCCCTGCCGGAGTGAAGAGTGATCGAGCACTTCAACGCAAGAGAGTTTCTTCGTCAGATCTACATCGCCCACATCCGATCCTTAGAATTATCCCGTTGTGGTAATTCTAAGAAGAGCAATTATCTTGCTTTTATCGAGATAGGCGCTTCAAGTTT